CTTGAAATTATTTTTTCGAGTTCTTCAGATGTCTAGAAATATTATTATTCGACAAAATATTGTTTGTCGGAATAGCAGCGGATATCTAGGTCACTTCATTTTCCAATAGAATCTTGCGAATAAGTTTTTTTATAAAATTCTTAAAAATTATTCTTTTAATTAATATTTGAGATCTCATACCAATTAGTAGACTCAAAATTACTGTTTTATAATTTTTACATTTAGCTCGATTTTAATTTTTCACATTAGTTCGAAGATCTTGATAAATACAACACAAAATCAGCAAGATCTAGAAATTTTTGTTTATAATATCAGGGAAAATTTCAACGAATGGTAAAATCTAACATAATAATTGCAATTCAGAATGAAATGGAATTGATATGTAACTAGAAAAAGGATCAAACTAATTCAATTAGTAAAACAAATTGCAAAGAATAATTATATATGTTTACCTTTGTATGAAAACTTTTCAAGCATTGAAATGAGAGACGCATTTGATGTATTGTCATCATCGATTAGCATAACTGAAATTTCACCAACACGATCATGAGCTATGTTTTCGACCAAATTCATGGCCAAATTTTTAGCCATTTTCTCGAGAAAAATTGCACTTTGAAAGTTCGAGATATTGACTGAATTGAGGGAGAAATAAACTATTGCCTCCACATATATATAGAAAGAAGAATAGAATTTGTGGGCCCAAGATGGCCATATAATATTCACCAAAAAAAGAATAAAATTATAGTTTTGGTCTAATATATTTTAATCTATCATTTAACACAATAATATATTTTTAATATTCAAAAATATCAGTCAACTTTATAATATCATTACTTGATTTTACATAATTAAAATCTTATCAAACATCTACTAACTCGTTTTTAACCTCAAAAAGATAACCATCTCATAATCGTAACAATATCGTTTCACATTTGGTTTTTTTATAAATTGGTAAAAAAAATATCATCTTATGGCAATGTTATATTTTGTTTTGACTGTGGTAGTAAATTTTGTATGATATTCATCAACTGAACATAATCCATATGTAGCTAGTCGTTATTTTATTTATAATGTTTTACCTATAAATTTATACATCAAATGTTGTACTATAACTATTTACGAGCATAATATATTTTGTTTAATCATAGAGCTCTGAACTCTTCACAGATTCCAAAAATCTTCACAAGATAGATGCAAACCAAATAGTTACCTAGGTCCACACAAGAAATATGCGAACTATGGGATCTAGGTAGCACTCCCATGCATTGGATGGACTTAGGTAAGCAACAGTTGTGGAACGTACGTACTACAATCTGCTATATTGGGTCTACTCACTTAAAAAATTGGATCATATAGCTATTTTTTGTGTGTGCTATGTTTACGTATTTGTAGCAAACTGATGCTTGCTACAATTTTGCTACGAATTTTTTGTTCTGATTATTGGCTCGTCGCTAATCCTACTTTGTAGCTAACAAGTTTGCCACATAGTTATGTTGTCGCAATTTTAATCAAATTAGCAACTTAACTCGAAGTAAATTTGTTACAAATCTCGTGAAGAATAATTTGTGATAACTTGATATAAAATGCCACTAAATCGATGAACAAAAAAACATATTTGGGACAAACATTTTGTTGCCAATTACCACAACCGTCATGATACACGGGGATCAACCCCTCTCGACCCAGTGTCACTTCAATCTTCTCCTTTTGTTTTCTTCTTTCTAGTGTCTTCAACCATTCATGACCACTGTTTCCTAACCATTCTTATCGTAGCTTTCCTCGAAATACTATGTTCTTTTCGTCTTTCTCTCTGTCTAAAGTTTCCATCACAAACGTCCTGATACACGAGGATCAACCACCTCTAGACCATGTGTCACTCCAATTCTCCTCTTTTTGTTTTCTACTTTGAGTCTCTCACTTTTGAACCTATATATATACTTTATATATTGTTCTCACTCTTTTTTGTTGATTTGAGTGTTAATTAGAAAGTCATCACAAAACACGCTACCATCATGTTTTCTCGACCTCAAAGCATTTGTTGTTTGTATAAGAGACTTAGCCCCTGGTGATTGGATCCACTGACGAAAACCTCATTAAATAATTATAATAATCAATGTTTTATAATAGATA